GGCTCTCGTGGTCTAGAGGTTAAGGTGTTCGCCTTTCATTCAATAGGTCGCAGGTTCGAATCCGGATAGCGACGGAAAAATATTCCTCTCTAAAATTGTCTCCTTTTACCTCTTTTCCAGCTCTCTTGCAATGTTCTGTCGTCTGCTATGGTCTCGACTTTCTGCCCCCACCTTTCACCGCCTTTGACCCCTCCTCTGGGCTCCTGACTTTTTCCACAGCCTTTCTTCTGCTACTTGGCTCATTCTTACTGCTGTCTTTCAACCACACCCCTGATCTTATGGTAGGTAAGATCTACACCTAGCCTTCTCGGGCAAGGGTGAAAAATCTCGGAGGTCCCGAGTGCAAGTTGCGCATGTTAAAGATCCCTTGATGGTCCAAAATCGATAAGAGTAGACTTCGGCCGCCACATGTTAAAATTCAAAATTTCCTACCAAGTGATAATTTAATGTGTCCCACGCGCTCGTATGACGTATCCAGTTTTTTTACTAGCGCCGTTAAACACTTGCCAAAATAAATATATAAGTAAGTAAATAAATGTTTTACGAAATATATAGACGTTTTTCCCCCCTTTTTTCAACGATTTGCGAAGTGTGCTTATGGGAAAGTGAAAACACCCACATTGAACGCTATAAAAATAAAACAATTTGTAGGCAAAAGTATCCATTTTTATTCTTCTCTTCCCTGAGAGGAGAGAACGACACGAAAGGCTGGAGATTTGGGTCAGACAGCAGGGATAAGATTTGTTAAACCAGTTTCTCTCGTCAGCTTGGATCGTTGATGACAGAAATGCTGCCAGAAAATTTCTGCCTAAAAGACTTGTACAGGCAGACTAGCGGTTAGTTCCAGTTAAGACTACGTTACACTCTTTGGTGGTGGATGGTACCGAGGTGGAATATGTTGCAGATCTGTCTAAAAATAAAAAATGGAAATAGCTGTGCAGAATGATTTTCAAAAAATTAAAGATTGAAATAGCTTGCCAGAATGATAGAAGTGCCTTGGGGAAGATCTCTGAGAAAATGTGTATATTGTTGTGATTACTGTTAATTGCTGTCACTGTTTTTGTTCGTGTTTTTTTTTATTGCAAATTTTATTGGTTTATTTATCTATGTATACTTTTTTTCCTCTTAGCCAGTCTTGTTGACTTCAATACTTTCGTTTCTAAGACATAATTTATATTTGATGCCATTTCACCTGTTCATGCTGTGTGTGGGTTTATTTTTATACCATCATTATAAAAAAAAAATTTGGGGGGGGGGGGGGCACAAAAAAGAGGCATTAGTGAGCTGCGACGTAGGCCATATGAGTATGTAAAAATGTGGGGGGGAAGGGGGAGCGTAGGATTGTTTTCTTTTGTGGTTTTGTTGTTTTTTGTTGTTCTTTTTTACGTTTTTCTTATATCCTGTTGTTGTCATCGATTTCTTAGGGGACATTTTAATGGAGGCAGGGGTGGGAGGTTCTGTGTATATTTCTACCTAACGGTTGACTTGTCTTTGTTTTTGTTTTGTTTTTGCTTTCCATGTTACCCGTGGAACATAGATCTGTCATCGTGACGTGTGCGTGCGCTAAACTGTATAAACATGTGGGAATTGGACGTACGCAGCGAGCTGATAAGACTAACAGCGAAAAAGTCTGCCTCTCTTTTAAGCTATGCTATATATATTATTATGCTGTGCGCTCTAGTTTTTTTTGTGTTTTTGCTGTTGTTTTGCTTTTCTTTCTCTGTGGAGGGGCGTTCTTTTGTTTCTTTCTTTCGTTTCCTTTTTGGTTTTCTTTCGTTTTTTACTATTGTTTTGGGGTTGGTTTTTTGGGGGGGTTGTTTTTGGTTTGAGTTTGGGTTTGTTTTTTTTTGTTTTTTTTGGGGGGCGGGTGTTGGGGGTTTTTTTATTAGAGGAGGCATGAGAAGAGAGAGTTATGGTTGGGGGCGGGGGAAGCTTAGATCTATTTTTTCTTACCACAATGAAAGAAATGGCGCCATCATAAAACCTGTAAATCAGGGCGACTTCCCAGAATAGTTTCGTTTACACTGTCTTTGCACCTACATTTCACTACCTTGTTTTTAACGAGGGAAGGTGGGGCTAAAATAGGACATGGACACATAATGTATAAAAGAACAGTTAAATAAAACATACTCTTGCCTATTCTTTTGTGTGTTTGTCTGTTTGGTTTGCTCGTTTGTTGCTTTCTTTGAGGTTTTCTTCCAAGTGGGGATATTTGAGGAGGATGCAGTGTTGTATCTTTCCTCTCGTCTCGTCTCTCTTTCTCTCTCTCTCTCTCTCTCTCTCTCTCTCTCTCTCTCTCTCTTTTTTTTTCTCTCTCTCTCTCTGTCTCTCCATCTGTCTCTCTCTTTGTCTCTCCCTCTCTATCTCTTTCTTATTCTCCTTTTCACCATTTCCACATCTTTGTTTTAAAAAATTCGTTTTTATGATAGTATATTAATTGTCCTCCCCCTTTGTGAATTTTTCAAATTTACTAGGGTATGTTTCTTTCCGTATTAATTTCTTTCATTTTTTTATGTTCATGAAAATACATTTACAAAATCTTTTTTGCAATGTACGGAAACATATTAATCTTTCTATCTCTCTGGCCTGAACTAGAAAAATATACAGATACGACACACTGATAAATGAAAACTTCAAGTTTGCGGCTACTTAAAATAAAAAAGTGACGTATTCGATCACTGTGAGCCTTTTGTTTGTTTTACTAAGGGTTTACGGCTCTCGCAACTGCACAGGGTCATACGAGCGCCAAGGGGTGGATGTCAACAGAGAAGTCCAAACGGGGAATCAGGCTTACTCTGCTCACATCTCTAGCCTGAACAGCACAAAGTCTGCTTCAACTATCAAGGCACCCAGGAAATAGCAATTCAAAAGGGAGTGACAAACATACAAAAGAAGTAGAAGAAAATGGCGATAGTACGGATGAGGGGGAAAAAGCAGCAGTACCCCCTATGTGGTTCCGGCACAGTATGAGCATGACATTGATAAATCAGCCCATTCACAATTCTACTGTGTTAATATCCCCCTTTGGGAATGGCCTAAAGACACTTCAGTCAGTGGCACTGCCCTTGGGGGGAAGAGAGGGGGATCACAGTGTACTTTACCCTGTTACGTCACTACTTAGTGTGATATCTCCTTGGTGATAGAAGGTATATTTCATTACGTAAGCATCTCCCTGCTTGATCCACAACAACTAGTCCTGTTCTAAACACCCTCCTCCTCCACCCCCACCCCAGGGCTAGGTAAGCAACTGCTGAAACCGTTACGTTTCGATAATTATGAACTTGACTTCCTGCCGTGGAAACCCTATCTAGCAGGCTAGTGCCAAAGTGTTTAACTATCGGAGAAGACTGATTAGCGACAGCGTAACAGCACACCGCCAGCAGCATTCCGCTACACGGGGAACTGCGCGTGTCTGATTCACATAAGAACCAGAGGAAAGAAAAAAGCCGAACCTATTTGGGCACGGCTGGGCGAAATCGAGACCACCATGCTCTTTTTGGGGGGCTTCCGGGTAGCTCTCTGGAAACCGCAAGGGAAACTACTCTTGCTGATGAGTTTGGGACTGAAGTTTCACTGATTACGTCATCGGGAGAATTCTCGCCGGTTGCAGGGTATTATAAGGGGAAGTAACCAGACTCTTTTCTCTAGGAACTTGGGTTAGTGAGGTAGGAGTTATCCCACGGGACTATTATAGAGCACGCTTGGTGGAGTCTTTGGGGTTATGTAGAACCTACTGTTGCCTGGCCAGCCGCTGACCTTTGCGAGCTAATTAGGTTATTGCCGTTTTGAATAGCTGACCGATCAATTTTCACTACAACTCTTAACTCTTTAAGGGTGTAGCGGACACTTAGTTCGACCAGCAGCAGACCAAAGGCAATGTTGCGGCCATTTCAAGCTACCATACACAAATCATCAACACTAATACACTAATTTGTATATCTCATAGTGTGTGCATTTAGTTACGTCCTCTTCAAGTTTT